GTCATTTTGACTTATTTATAATATTGCAATGAAGCGATATTTAGGTATAAAATTTTTCTGCTGCATTTGGCCTGTGCAATAACAAATTTACATGAAATGCAAAAAAGTGTTGATAAAACCAAATACTCAAAATAAATATTGATTCGGCAAATCAAGAGTTTCATCAACGCGCTGCTCTAGTTTAAATGCATTATAAGCGCTATTATAGTGCAAAGCTCGTCCATATCAATCATCTTAGTTGACATTGAACTTGTCTGACTGACGCCTTAAGATCCAACCTTGAATCCGATTTATGACTTATATCTGACCTATATAATATTAATACTATCCGCCTAGTAGCATGTTATTGTCGCTTGTATTATATTGATGTTATTACTGAAGATAATGACTCTATGCGTATCCTTATAACCTATACTTACAAATTAGTTGGCAACCTATACAAAACAAGTCGCTAAAACCTGTAGGCACTTCTTATATTTTGCGTTCACGAATAAACATTTCGTATATAAAACTGAAATGGTAGTTTCATAATTAGTAAAATAGTTCAAAGTTTGCTAATGTATTTACTCATAAGACCAATAAACCAATAAAAAAATTTTTTTTTGCATAATCTTTTTTTTATGATTATCAAAAGTTTCCATTGGTTAGATTTGTCTTAAAAAGTTAGATTTGGTTAGAATGTGCATTTTTATGATTTTATGAAAGGGCGCATAAATAGATAACTTACTATTGAACTCTAAAAAATATTAGGCTTGGCAGAACAAGAAACAATATAATAAAGTGCTAAAACAATTATTTTGTTTTATAAAATCTTGAATTATATAGGGTAGAGGGGGACTTAAAAGTCCGCGGGCAAAAAGACCCATCACCGATATCTCAAAAACAAGTAAAGTTGGGATTTTTTTAACAACAATATTTGAAAGTAGAGGGCAAAAATGTATTACCTTAATTTTTCCGACGTCGCTATCAGATGATAAACGGCAATGTTTGAAAATCCACAACAAAAGTATTTTCTTTAGTTGTTAGTTTTTGTTATTGTGAGCTGTTGTTTAGTTTACCAAACCTTAATATAACTTTTAGGTATACATTATTTAATTGTTTTATAAGTATTTTTGTTTTTTAGTTAGACCAACTGAACCTTTGCTCTGGCAAAGGTGTAAACAATAAAAATAATAAATAAAGAAATAAATTAAGTTAACAAAAACTATTTTACAAGTTAAATAAATAGTTATTCTAACAATGCTGCTGATTATTTCTCAAGAAATACTAGATCAAGGTTGTGTACAGTATTATCTCTCTAAAAAATGTACCCATGAAATTAATAGTTTGCATTGTTTGAATAATGTAGATTTTATTTCATGAATCCCTTTAAAATTAAAAATATGATATTGTATCTTTTTATGATAGCTGTCCTTTTTATCTAGCCACTGGGGTAAAAAGTCCCAGGTGACAAATTTTTGAAATACAGCAAAAACATATTTCTACAATGATGAATTAGCTGGTAGTTTTACTGAACATAATCAGATAGTTGTTTGGTATTTGTAATTTCTTGTGCTACAATAGGTTTGGTTTTTTCAATATATGTATATATGTATATATATATATATATATATATATATATATTATTTTATATATGTTGCATATCTTTTATATATAATGAACTGGGTTTTAACGATCGGGCGTTACGTCAATAAAAGTTTAATTGATGTAACGCCCGATCGTTAGAACTTACATATATAAATGTACATTCATATCATATATGCATCTATGTGCATTTATATATGTATATGATATGAATAAAAAGGTTAATGTGTTCTACTATGTACTACAATATTATTATAATTTCAATCTCTTCGTAGTTGAAATCAAGTTGTTTGCTAAACTTGTAATATAAATAAATAAATTAAAATAAAAGAAATAATTTTTTTTCATAAGAAATAATTTTTTTTCATAAATTATAGCCAAATGAAGTGTATTGCGGTGGTATTTTCCGTATTAGTCGCTTTTGCAAAATCTTTGAGTTCACTTACATTCGGTACTCTAATTAACGCGTGCAAGTCATTTTTAAGATAAATGAAATGAAATACTTGACTAAAATATTCTCTTCACAATGTGTTTTATAACTGCATCATCATCTTAAGGCCAACCACATATGTGAATTCTTTCACAGCTCTGACATCCCTTTACTCAGTTCAGGCAAGCACAATCAATGTCCCTCACATACGTATTGAAAGTGAATTTGAGTTTGGTATTTACATTGAACAATGTTAATTTTTGATATGTGTTGCATATCTCGATGAAATGTATTTTATTTTGAACACGTCAGTGCACATTTAGATGAATTATTATTTTAAAACAGATTACATTTTTATACTTCAGTTTAGTTCAATTATTTTTGAACATTTATGAATTAATTTGAATAAAAAAGATTTAAAGTTATTTCTTATATGGATAAATACAAATATCTAACAAAGTGTTCGAAAGCGATCATTACTTATATAGATGGGTATCAATGAAACTTAGCAAACTGCAAGAAATGGTAAAAAACAGATATCTGGGAATATAATTTTTTAAATAAGTTCATAACATTTTTATGAACTACTAAGGCTATAACAGTTGTGCTCAAAAGTCGTAGTTTGTATATGATATACTTTATTTGGTCCATGATAAAAAATAAAAATTGATAATATAATTATTCGCAACTTCATAAAAATCAACTTTATTAACAAAATCACGCCCGCGATTTACAGTTAATGTTTCATATTAGTACACATATTTGACGAGTTCCACAGACTAGGCCTATTGCACTAAAATATTATAATTAAGATATATTGTACACCAATATGTTGACTTTAATGACAAATACTAAAATTATTGTCTATTTTATATACAATAAATCTTCGATTGGTGTCATAAAGTGATTTTTTTGTATTTACATCTAATTTAAACAGTTATGTTAAGGGATCCAATTTGTTAAACAATAAAATTACAGCACGAGATGTATGATGTATGTGGATACTTAGTGTTAGCATTTATTTCCTTTCATCGCGAAATTACCAGATCTTACTGCTTTATTTGAGCAACTCAATAAAAATTCAATAGATTGATGACAAGCAACATTTTTTTATGCACTCTTTACCAACTATCAAATTATGCAGATTCTGGTTAAGCTTTTGCTTTTTAAATTACATTTTTATTGTAACGGTAGATTATCATATAGCCACTACAGTTTTCCTGTCCAGGCCGTAGTATCACACCAGGATTTTCTTGGATTCCTGCCCGACGTCTCCGAAAAATTTTCTTTATTTTTTTCCTTTTACATCCTTTCTATATGGTTGCAGATTTGTGCGCCGAAAATTGTGGCAATTACCAATTTCTTCTAGATTTTGTAGATGGAGGAGGACAAAAGTTTGTCCTCCTTCATCTACAGTAAATTATACATGATAATGGTAGATAAACTTTTTCGTCACTCATTAGACTTATCATAATAAGGGTATCACAAATTAGCCAACTTATGTATTACCAGTGTTACTTTGGTCAATTGTTCCGTTTATCAAATACAATATAATATATTGTGTTTGATATATTATTTTATCAAATAATATAAGACTTATCATGATAGAGGTATCAGAAATTAGCCAACTTATATATTACCAGTGTTACTTTGGTCAATTGTTCCGTTTCTCAAATATAATATAATATATTAATATATCAAATTATATAAGACTTAACATGATGAAGGTATCGCAGAATAGCCAACTTACGTATTACCAGTGTTACTTTGGTCAATTGTTCTATTTATCGAAAACGAAATGGTTTTGTGAAAATAATCTAGTCCTCAATAATGATAAGACCTAAATCATATCTTTTTGTACAAAAAATCGTTTATCCAATAATATTATTTCTTTAACCATCAATAATTCAGCATATAATTTTTCGCAAGTATCAAAGTTTCTTGGTATCCATATTAATAACAATTTAAAGTGGTCTGACCATATCTCTATCTCACTATCACCAACTGTATCTAGAGCATGTTGCATGTTGCGTACCCTAAAACCCAAACTTGGTTTAAATTGCTTACTTTCAGTTTATTATAGCAACTTTTATTCTCACGTTTCATACGGCATCCAATTCTGGGGTTTTTTATCCGAACTAATTAAAATATTTAAGCTTCAGAAAAGAGCTATTCGAATAATTTTTTCCTTGACCAGTAAAGCCTCCTGCAGACCCATATTGTAAAAATACAATATTCTAACTGTCCCATGCATTTTTCTGCTGGTAACATTATCTTTCATCAAAAACAATTCGAAACTTTTTGATATGGCTTCGTCCTCCTCAAACTACAACACTAGACACAAACTTATTAAGGCGCGCACATATAAATTAGGCAGCTCTTTCCTAGATCGACGGTCTAGATATTCAGCTTATGAATAAACTTCCACTCATTATCCGCAAAAAATTTCATGCTTCCCTAGTTAAACTTTTTAAAGAATTAGCTTTTTATGACATTACTGAATTTTCTCAATTTGATTTCAATAACTATTTTCTTGCATAATCCTTATCCTTTATCTATGTAGTCTGACCATTTGATCGCCTGTACAACCATGTTTTTTTTTTTGCTATTTTATTAATTTAAATTTTTTTACGGTTTTAAATGAGTATAACTTTCAATCTTGTGCAAGAATTTTGAGCTTGACTGGTGGTCAAATAGACTTTAACATGATGAACTTGATGATGAACATTGTATTTAATGTTCGAATGCTTTTTTTCAGCTCTTTTTTTCAGAAGCGAAATTCGTGCAGCTACTATGATTATTATAAAATTACTATCCTTTTAATATTAACTATGAATAAGCTTGTCAAGAGCCTGAAATAATATCTATCATTATTGATTACGGCTTGCTTATGAATAAATAAATAAATAAATATCAAATATAATGTAATATATTGATATATTAAATAATATAACAATAATTTGAATAAACTTTTTTTTTATTATAGGCTTGGCCCTCGACCAAGGGCTGTCAATGAGCTCGATGGGACCGCTCTCACCGCCGGATATGAAACCGGATCCTGCGCTACTGAACGGCGGCTTTTCGCCCGGCAGTGGCGGCGCAGTTGTCGGCAGTCCCGCTAGTCCGCCTTTTGGTCAAAATCACACAATAGTATCAGGAAACACGGCCACGGGCGCCCAAACGAAATCACCATACCCTCCAAATCATCCTTTGAGCGGGTCAAAACATCTGTGCTCCATATGCGGAGATAGGGCTTCCGGGAAGCATTATGGTGTTTACAGGTAATTGGATTTTTTCTGCAAATTGTAATAATTTGAAGATATTGGTATAAGAATTAACAATATTTTTAAGAAAGTTTTAGCGATATGCGTTGTTGTAATCAGGTAATATCTGATTAAGATTTTTTTACAGTTTTTCATTTTTCGTGTGGACTAATTTATTTTATAATGTAAAATTCATTATTATATATTACAGTGTGCTTATTACTATTATTATATATTACAGTTACAGCCAATTAATAATATTATGTTATAATTAATACCTGTCGTTTGGTATTTAATTTCTAATAGTATTCATTATTCTAATGAATGACGTAACCATGTTGGTTACATATAAATTTAGTATAAGGTAAGATAATTTGAAGGATCTTAATACGAGATAACGACATTTATAGATGTTGTATCATAAAATAAAATTATTGCCATATGTGTTTAATGTCTTTGCTTAAAAGTAGTAAGCTCCTTGTCAGTAGGAATCGAATGCTTTTTGAATCATTCAAGTCGGTTAATCCGTGCTCTCGAAGCCGTGGACGAAAATTTGTATCCGTATACACACAAATATATATATATATATATATATATATATATATATATATTTAATAGTAAAATATGCCAAAATGTTCACCTCTGCAACGTAATACGCATTTTTTTTTTTTTCATTTTAATATGGTTCTTGGATCTTAATTATCATAGAATATGTTGATAAAAACTAGTCTTTACCAACATTTTTAACATCCAAAGGTCTGGGTAGTCTCAAGGATATTGGCGTGTATCTCATTTGTACTAATAATTTTGTTTTCTTCAGACAATCATTCTCACAATTATTTTCTGTAGTGCAATCGAATTAGTGGCCAAAAATGTTGAAACTTTCTGACGCAACTTACACGCACATAATTTTATACAGATATATATATATATATATATATATATATATATATATTATTTAGCACGTTAACATGTCTTCATGAATCTACTCAGTGCCATGAATAGCTTTAAAACAAAAACAAATATTTCATCAACATGTCGAAAATGCATGTGCTGATTTTACTTCACGGTAAACAACAAAAACAATATTATTCAAAGAAATAAATAAAAATATCAGACAATATTTTTTTTCAATTCTTACAGAATTGTTCGTCATTCTGAATTTTATTTGCTTCATAAATTGTCATTGTGTATTTATTTAGAAATTGTATTGCAATTATTGAATATAATGCACATATTAAATTATTGTTAGCTCAAATTATCTAAAGCTATATAAAGACCATGATTGTAAATAACACAAAAATAGATTTGTTTTTTTTTAACTCTTCTATTCTTTATTGTACCATATTTGCATACTAGTGCCAAATATAACTAGTTTTTGCTTATTGATTCAAGATATATATATATATATATATATATATATATATATAGCGATATTTAAAAAAAGTCAATTTTGGTTCTTTAATGTGTAAACAAAAATAATATTTTGTAAAATAATTCAGTTATTATGGTGCAGTTCAGTATTGAAGGTCTTCGTTTGTCTATACGAGTAAAAATTCTGTAGCTTCAGAACATACCTAATTTATATAAATACTATGCATTATCGAATCTTTTATTAATAAATAAAACAGTAATTGATATTAAAATGGATTCACATAGGTACTCAATGCGGTATTCCTACGTTAAAATATTATGAAATATAATTCATATCTTCTTCTAATTATCTTCTTCATGTTTTAATATATTTCATTAATAAATCATTCAACGTCGATGACATTTGAAACAGGATTGTCAATGTGCAAATTGGATCCGTCTTACTTGACTTGACTTACTATCTTCACCCTGTAAGAAGCATTGTATGGACAAATTCTAGAAATATTTGTAATTCATTTTTTTTCAAGGCCTTTAGTGATTCATACATAATTATATAAATATAATTTATTTATAATTGTATTTTAAAATTATTCATTGTTTTAAAATTATTTTGTTCTTTATTTTAATTCGTTTTATTCAATATTTTCCAGTTGCGAAGGTTGTAAGGGATTTTTCAAACGGACGGTACGAAAAGATCTGACGTATGCCTGTCGAGAGGATAGAAATTGTTTGATCGACAAAAGGCAGAGAAATCGATGTCAGTTCTGTCGATATCAGAAATGTCTCGCCTGTGGAATGAAACGAGAAGCCGTGCAGGAAGAACGACAACGAGGAGCAAAGGTGAAATTCATTTTTTGTTTTAAAAGTTGAAAGATAGAAATAATCTATTCCAATAGATCAGATAAGTTGAAGTCAAACAGCATTTTACTATACGTGCCTTCAATATCCCTATAAAATTCATAGGCGATCATACGTTCCTATTTGGCCGGGACAGTCCCGCACTTCTACCTTTCGTCCCGTTTTTTCTAGAGTAATTAGAATTAGAATTAGAAATAACTATTTATATTTTTTTTTGTAGAATAATGAAGAAAGCAACCCGACAAGTTCTGTTCGTGATTTAACGGTAGAAAGAATTTTAGAAGCAGAACAAAGGAGTGAAACTCGAAATGTTGCGACGGACCCGGAATTGTCGATACAATATTTGCGAGTAGGACCTTCATCCATGGTGCCTCCTAGATACAAGGTATTTCATTATTAATTGCAGCTTTGCATTTATTATTAGTATATTTATATCGCTAAATATATGAATCCCCATCACGGACAACCCCGATATCGAGCAGTAGCGATGGAAATATAGATCTTAAATATGTTTCCAAGTAAAAATAGCCCTTTCGGGGTAGAGAACTGAAGTTCTAATTACTGTTAAATGAGTATAGAAAATAATATGAATAATGATTCTACATTAAACGTTTGTTTAAAATTTCTAGGGCCCTGTATCCAGTCTGTGTCAGCAAGCAAATAAACAGTTATATCAGTTAGTACAATACGCAAGGTGCATGCCGCATTTTAGTGCTTTACAATTAGAGGATCAAGTAACGTTACTCAGAGCAGCCTGGAATGAATTACTTATAGCATCTATAGCCTGGAGAAGTATTGAGGTAAATAAAAACGATTTGAACCAAATATAAAGCGGAATCATATCATTTGGATTTACCTAAACATAAATATTTTCAGTATCTAGAATCCGATGCAGAAACAAGTACGTCCAGTATGTCTAGTGATACTTCAACAAGGAGACGCGCTCCACCAGGACCGCCTGAATTAATGTGTTTCTTTCCTGGTATGACGTTACATCGGAATAGTGCAATCCAGGCTGGCGTCGGACCTATTTTCGATCGGGTACTGTCAGAATTAAGTGTCAAAATGAGAAGAATGGATTTGGACAGAGCAGAATTAGGCTGTTTGAAGGCTATAATACTGTTTAATCCTGGTAAATGATGTAAAAATATAACAAAAGTTTCTGAAATTTATTGTAATGCTTGATTTAAAAAAAATGCTAACTTGAATGTTAGCGCAGTCTTGTCTACGGTAGTATGACTTAATTTAATATATGTAATTTAGAAACTTGAAGAACACTTGAAATTTTGACGATGGCTTGGGGCACCTAGGACTAAGTGAAATGTTGCAAATATTGTTTTACAATTGTTTTCAAATTGTTATTGTTTTTAAATTTTGCTTTCATAATGTTGATGTATTGAATTAGTCTGTGAATCAGTTAAAAGCTTCCAACTCTTTTATATATTGAATAAGTAATCTATTCAAAGCAATTATATATCAAATATATTAATGCATTTTTATTATTTAACATTTGTGTTTATAATTATTCAATAGTTATTAATTTAGATTATTTGTTGTTATTTTACATACCTTGATATATTATATTTTATGTATTAAATTTCATTTTAATTGTAAATATATATTTCCTTTAGATATTCGAGGACTGAAATGTAGACAGGAAGTGGATGCTTTACGAGAAAAGGTAATTATGATTAAATTTTCAATATGTTCAGAAAAAATGACAATATGTATAATGTCATTGACATTTTTATGTAAAGTACTTTTCGTTGAATACAGTGTACTCTGACATGCGAGTTTGATTTGTTTGTAACCACGCTATCACTAGCAAACTTTTCCATATAAATACATTGCAATACCATTAATTCGTTCCTGCATTAGCCAAAATATTTCTATGGTGGAAAATTCATGTTTACAACTGACAAAATTTTTCATATTTTCAGTTCACGATTAATTAAGTCACTCGTAAGTGGGAGTACCAATGTACTTTTAAAAATTTTTAATTTTGTTGATTGTTTTATCGAAAATTATTATTTAATTCTATAAACTATCATTACATTTGGTATTTGGCGTTTCAACTTTATGGTTTAGGTAATGTGTATATTGCGAGAGATAGTTTGTCCTAAAATATGTTAATTTTATTTTATAATTCATATGAATGCCTAATGATTGATTTATATAAAAGGGTTTTACTATAATTACATACCGATTATATTGATATTTTCTTTACTGATACGTATTCAGGTTTACGCGTGCCTGGACGAGCATTGCAGGACGCAGCATCCAGCGGAAGAGGGTCGTTTCGCAGCCCTGCTGCTTCGCCTGCCAGCTCTGAGGTCAATCTCTTTGAAATGTCTCGATCACCTGTTTTTCTTCAGATTGATTGGCGATACGCCGCTTGAGAGTTTTCTTGTGGATTTACTCGAGGCCGGACCGATCGGTTGAGCCGATTCATGGATAAAAGATAAGTTTTATGTATTAAGATGAGAATAAGTAAATATTCTGCAAAGTTATTTTTTCTGCACGAATATTTCTACAAGCACGCACTTGGGATATTGATTGTCTCTTGTGATCTTTTGAGGTGGCGGGGAGGATACGAACCAGTGATATTTTAAAATATTTTTAATTATTAGAGATTAGGATAGCGGTATAAGTACTGTAATGCATATATGCATATATGCTTTTGATTTATATTAGAAGTTTTTCTGCATCATCCAGTGAATTAAAATAAGATATAATAAGGAAAAGTCCATATATACTGATATTTTATGATTTCAATTGATCATCTGAAAATTTCTAAGGGGGCGTCCATTAATCACGTGAGGTTTTTAGGGGGAGGGAGGGAGGTGGTAATTTTCAATATCACCATATATCACCAAATGGGAGGGAGGGTCCAAAAATCCTTAAAAACTCGCTCACGTGATTAATGAACGCCCTCTAATTAAAGAACAGCACAAGGGCACATAGTCAATATTTTTTTAATTATGTTTTTGGAATATGCCGGACTATTTGTGCAAAAATATTTATGCAACTATCCAGACCAGTCAAGCAGTTCTCGAGCAACAGGCTAGGAAGTCGACTCTGGAAATGGTGACCACCATAGCACATTGCTGCAGATATCTACCAGTAGAAGCCAGCGATCAAATCGGAAAATTGGACGACAATGTCGATTCCAATAATGATCAGGAGGGCGATAAATGCTCTTCGCGCATGTTGTACCACTTCTTGGAGACGCTAGACGTCTGGACATTACTTACCCTAGCGTCTCCAAGAAGTGGTACAACATGCGTGAACACAAGAGGCATCAAAGTGTTAATAAGGCTAGATTCGCCTAAACTTCTGCACAGTTCCTGGACGCTATCATCCGACCCACTGATAGTACTTGAAGAGCATTTATCGCTCTCCGGATCATTATTGCAATCGACATTGTTGTCCAATTTTCCGATTTTATCGCTGGCTTCTACTGGTAGATATCTGCAGCAATGTGTTATGGTCGTCACCATTTCCAGAGTCTATTTTCTAGCTTGCCGCTCTAGAACTGTTCGACTGGTCTGGACAGTGTCAGAATCAGTAAAATTACTAGAAAAAACGCCTTTGTTTATAAAAATAGGGGATCGATTATTAAACATATAAAAACTATGAAATCCTTCATTTAATATTCCTTCATTTAGAGTAAAGAAACAAAAAATTTATATATAATTTTATCTAAGGGGGCGTCCATTAATCACGTGAGGTTTTTAGGGGGAGGGGGGGTTTGACAAAAAATCACGAAATATCACGTGGGGGAGGGAGGGTTTGGTAAGATATCACGTGTATTTATTTTTTAACTGATTTTTTAAAAAATATTCAAACATTTTCAAAAAAAAAATTCTAAAAAATTAGTTTTTTCACGTAACTAAAAATACACGTGATGTTTGGTGGGGGTGGAATATCACCATGTATCACCAAGGGGGAGGGGGGGTCCATAAATCCTTAAAAACTAGCTCATGTGATTATTGGACGTTTCCTAAATGGTTACGCTTTAGGAATACTTCTCATTACATTTGTATCGAAACGTTGAGTTCAAAGAAATAATCCTGAAAATTAAATGATACTCGAAAATAAATTTGCTTCTTCACGGTTATATAAAAGCTGGAGTAAGCACGCGCGTTAATATTGCATTGATTTTACACTCTGATAATGTAAATATTATTGTTTACATCTTTAAACTTTGTATCGAAATGTGTTAATGCGTTAGGTGTTGTTAAATAGATTATAGTCATTTATAATAGTACCTAAAATTCTAATGTGCAAAATACTACAGGGTAGTATTACTTGAAATTAAGACGCTATAATTCTATTTTGCACGATCTAGGATTGTTTAACATTTGATGTCAATATTTTTATAGTTGTGACCTATTGATCAAATTACAATTTTTAATTTCTCTACCTTTTTTTTTAAGAAAAAATAGTACTTAATTATATGTTACGTCTTTTAAAAATCTTTTTACGCAGATAAGTCCTGCAATTTGTGTAAAGTATTTGAAAAAAAAAATCCAATCCTGGATGTACCTCATAGATAATAATCTTGGTGATATTTCACATCTATGAAGATATATAATCAATTTAAATAAATAATCCTTTGCCACTAAATATAATAAGTAATTACTTTATAAGTCATAATTGATAAGTACACATTGTGGAATATATCTTTAAATATTATGTTACAATTAGTAAAGACACACTATTATTGGCGAACATATTGTTAGACAAAGCCTAATATATTTTTAATGAGCTAAGTGACAATGGATATATAACTATACTTGACTATGAAAATAGAGTATTTTTGAATTTATTAAATATAATACGATATTAGATTATCTATATGTGAAATATATTTAATGTGAAATATATTAAACAAAAATGGAAATATGTTAAAAACTTACTAAGTGAGAAAATCTGTTTCATTATCTTAATGTTAGATATAAAAAGATATAAGTATATTAATGAAAAGTTATAAAAAATGTTAAAAATTATATGATCTAATCATAAGTACAATACTGACGTAGAAGTTGTGCAATATTCACAAATCATAAACATTTTGAAAATTTTCCGAAAAGATTTAATTTCCTCAAATAATGATTGATTTTTATTGAATATCCTTAGCCAGTCTTTTTTTGACACATTACTTTGTATACCAATAGCTTAGTAATTAACTGTTAAATTATTTCATTAAAAATTGAACAGAAAATCAATCGACTAAAGCAAACAATTAATGGTCTATTTATGAATTATTGGGGCAGTTAAATTTGGAAATAAAAGCGGTAACTCATTTAATTTAGTATTAAATATTCGTACAAATTATAAATTAGCATTTTTACTTTGTTTTTATCCAAATAGATAATTATGTTCCAAACTAATCGCGTTGGTCAAGTTGATTTTTTTTCTGACTCGTATTATTGTTTTCATCATCAATGAACTTTTATATATATATATATATATATATATATATATATATATATATATATATATTAGGGTGGGTGGTCCCTAATATGGATGTTTTCGAATTTCTTTGCTCCCAGGAGGAGCTCAAATGCTTCCAAATTGATAAAAAAAATTCTCTGAAAGTTTTAGCTCTTAATATTAACTTTAAAATAGTCCGCACTCCAACCTAAGTTTTTTATGTAAATAATATAAAGGTAAAATTTCATTTGTTTTATTTTTAATTCTATGACTTAGCGACAAGTGAATCAAAATTTTGAGAATAACATCGTATATACTTATTATGATCACAAATAAAAAATTTACAACAAAAATTTGATTAATTTTTTATAATAAGTATTTACTTTGGAAGAAGAACCAAGAAACTTTGGTTGGAGTGCGGACTATTTTAAAGTTAATATTGAAACGTTCAGAAATTGTTTTTCTATCAATTTGGAGGCATTTGAGTCCCTGGAAGCCCCGAATTTCAAAAATATCCATATTAAGGACCACACACACACACACACACACACACATATATATATATATATATATATATATATCTTGATTGTTTATTCGATGTTGAAAAACATTTAAAATAATTAGCAGTCAATTTGTCGAATTAAATGGTAAAGTGAATTTTAATTCTTTATATGCTTAAAGCTATAGCTGCACTCAGTTTTTTTTTGTTAATTATATTTTTTTATGAAAATAATAGTGTTTTAAAGTTAGTGTTATGGTTTGTCTCTGGTTTGATTTATTGAATGATCACATACTTCAAATGTCGAAACATATAAATAAATGATGAATTCATATTCACTTTAATTCGACGAATTGGTAGCAAATCATTTTAAATATATATGTATATGTTAAATATATATATATATATATATATATATATATAAACTTTAGATTTTTTGGTTTGACGTTGAAACATATTATTGAATTGTTCATTTACAACCAAATAAACGAAAGAAAAAACAATAAATAATTAACTATTTAATCTGTATGTTTCGATCATTCAGCATGTTTAATAAATTGTAAAAAAACTATTTTACATTGTTTAAATTTTTTTAGCAAGATTAATAGAAGATATAATTAATGCATCCCAAACCAGGAAAAAACAAAAACATAAATTTCAAAGGCATTTCAAAATATACATAATTTCAAAAAAATACAAAATAATAAACTAAAAGTAGTTGGGTTTTGTCCTGGTTTGACATGTATTTATATTTTTATTTGATGAGTCTTCTATTAATCTTGTTAAAAAAAATGAAACTTTGTAAAATAGTTTTTTTACAATTTATTAAACATGCTGAATGATGATTCAGATCAATGTATTCAAAAATAATTATTTGTTGTTTTTTATTTCCACTATTTGGCTGAAATATATATATATATATATATTTGTTTCTTCAATATTTTTACATTCAATTTGTGTGCTTGGAATATGTTTTTACGATTATTTTTTCTTGCGATAATTTATATCATTCCGATTATTTTTTACTATCTAGTATTTGTAAATATATTAGTTCTAAAATACATTAACATTGAACTACTATTAATATAATCTGATTAACAATTATGAGAAGTCTTTATTATTAATTTTTTATAATACATCTTTAATAAATAGTATTATTGTAAAAGAAATAATAGATATAAATCAGGCCTCGACAATTATAGACATTACAATGTTTTTTTTCCATAATAATAAAATTAATGACAAATATGTGTTACACTTCAAATATAAAATTATATAATTTGTTATAATAAACTAAATTGTCTTCTTTTATAAATTTTACAAATTACATTTTACAATTACAAATATCAAACAATTTCATATAACAAGACTAGTTTTTTACGTATTGTCGAGGTTTGCATTTAACAAATAATTCTTGTAATTTATTTCACATGAAATATTTATGCAATTTTAAAAATTTTGTCATTTTATAGTAATTCTACTTGTTATATGTGTGTTTATATGTTATACAAGGAACACAATGTTACTTTATTTAAATCTGAATTTAAAAATATTTATTAACCAATTATTTGATTAATGGTGGATTTTTTTTATTATGAATTTTCTATTATACTAGGTTATTCTCTAAGGTTGTTATATATTATAGATATTACTGTTTACTTTGTACATATTTCGACCATTGGATCTGATTACAAACTATATTTTTAAGAATTTATTACATAATATATATTCAAAGGCATCTATAGAAAGCAAAACGTATCGCTATTAATATGGAATTATTTATTTTTCTAACTTTTATAATGTACATATTGTCATTTATATAGAATTAGAAGCCGTCAGCACTGAGGGGAGAATATAAAAGTAAAAAGTACAAAAGAATGAGTTCTGGAAATTAACTAATTAAATTCATGTTTCTCTGGTAATTCAATGCATATGATTATCCAATTATTAGTTGATCATCACATTTAATGCAAATGTTTACAATTTAGTAATTTTGAACAAATTTAAATTTTCAATTCCAAATCCTAAATTGAATTTTAATTATTTAGTCTTAGGAAATACATTGCGGTATTTGTACTTACGTTAAACCTTTTTTGAAAAGAGAAACAATTCTATTTACCTGTGATTTTTTAAAGTTAAATTTCCAGTTATCAAATAATCGTTGGATACATCTGCATTGAATTGTTGCTTGATTGTAAAGCCTAGCCTACTGATGTTTTGTGAGATGCGCCAGAATTATGAGCATTGGTTGCTATCCCTATTTAGAGTGCTAAATTGAATTCCTTACAATTATTTATTTCCTTCAAAGTTCTGTGAATCAGATTATATCACAAATTAAAAATTATCAATTTATTATTAAAACTTATTAATATTTATGAGAAAGTGTTTTTTTAAGAAGTGTTTGGTATAGAATACTTGCAGTTATTTTAGTAATTAAGAAAATTCTAGGGTTTCAAATGATTGTAAGAGAACTTTGTTAATGTGTTTTAATTATTTTTAAGTAGATATTAAATCCACGTAACCAGTCCAGTCCTTCAAATTCCAATAAAATTATTTTTTCATTTACAATGCATACCAGTGTTTATATAGTGTTATAGTATTAAATAAATACAGATATTAAAAAATATTATTATACAAACTCTTAATCATTGTTTTCAAATCTCTTAATTTGAATTTTTAGGTACATTGTTGTAACATGTAGAAGACCGCATGCCCACCAGTGGGTCATAACATAACAACATTATGGAATAGACAATGTTCGGTGCAGTGTTCAATGTGTTTGTGTGCTCATAAGATGAGAATAGAGCGTCGCGTTTTATGTTGAATGGAATTTATTTTGTTAAAAATATCAGCACGGCGAGATCTCAGCATGTTAAATATTAAAACAATATGAATTTCAGAAAAACACTAAGTATTTGAGATTATTTTTATTTACTTCTTATAAAATCTACAAAATTATAAACATAAAATGATCTAAAAACATTGTAGCTGATGTTCAATATTGCCACTTCTTAACTACTATATTTTATGATTTTATCTCGTCACTGAATCAATTTTTATAAGTTGATCTCGTGACTATTCAGTCATAAACAATTTTCTAAAATGTATTATCACATTTGCTTGTTTGCTTAGATAAATTTATCTAGCAAAAATAAATGCATGGCAATAAGAATAGATCTAAAAATAATAATAATGACCTAATGATACTACATGAAGTCAAAAAAGTAGATTCAGTTGATAAATGATTAGTACACTGTAGACGACTGTAGCTTGTCATTTTAGCTCACAAGTTTTATAAATATTAAGCTCATATTCAAAATACTAAATTTATGAATGTAAAACAGATTTTTATTGTAATGATTATATATATTGCTTTATTGGTAACACTATCAAAATAGTAGTTTATAACTTTTTTTTCTATTTGCGGAAAATATTTAATATAAATATTCTCATATGCGGATCATGAAACATTTTTCCTAAAGGAATAATCTATTTTCTATAAATTAAATATATAATACTCTGGATATAAATATAATTTGAGTCTTGGACAATGTTCTCAATGACTTTGGCTTTTCTTGTTTCAAACAACAGTAAGTGAAAATATAGCTAAGATAATTCTCTAGATGTCTTTAATAATTAATCACAAGTTTTAATCCTGTATAGCCCCCCATCATATGTCATTCAAGAACAAATAGTTTTCTATACATCTAGGAAATCCTAACTGCCTAATCTTGTGCAAATTTTGGCCGTTTGGACCTAGCATTTGTCGTATTTTAATTCTGCACAATGCAGCCAAAGAAAGGGGACGTGTAGATGTGAAAAGCAACCAATCAGATGGATTCTCTGAGTGCTCCCAAGCTTGCGGATATTCAATCTTTTGGGTTGTTGAAGGTCTTAGCGTTCTTAAGGTAAATCCAGAATAAACTAAAATGTTAAATGATATTACATTTAAAAGTTACTTCTAAATTATTACTTCAGGTACTAAATAATGGAATACCAATATGTGTAATTTCTTACCTAGTAATTTAACTATACGCAAATTTCCTCTCTTTTGAGCGAGAGTTAAATTATCCACAATACACATTTGCAAATCACACACTTCAACATCAGCGCCTTCTTTTATTAGTACCTGAATTTTTTTTTTTTATTAATTATTATTATAAAGAAATTTACTATTTATTCTAATCTTGAATTCTATCCAGTTACCTCAGCTATATCATCATAGTCACTCAGCAAAGCTCGATACAGTGCAGTTTCGCCACCACATAATGTCTGTGCATTTAAGTTTGCACCATAATTTCTGAGTGTACATAAAATTCTGTGAAATACTTCTACAGCAGTGCAGCATCCCTCAACAGCCTCATGCAGTGCTGTGCTACCAGTTATACCGTGCCTACATGTTGCCGATGCTCCTAGTTAAGATTTTAAAGATTCAGTTAATGCGTTACTGCATAGAGTACATCTTCAGTCATGTTTTAAAATCAAAGGACGAGGAAAAAGTAGAGCTCTCATGGTGGAAATATAAGATGACTACCAATAAATCAATCAATGGGAAAGAATTTGAAGAATAAAAGGATTGAAGATTAGGTAGATAGATACAAAAATTTATATGTACCTGAAGTTGGGTATTTGCGAAAAATTATATTGTTGAGGTTACACAGTATTGTTTAATGATTTTCTTTAACTTCCTGAAGAAAAGAAGCTCGAATAAGAAACTTCCACTGTATTTACAAGTACCGGAAAGTTCATGCAATAAGCTTTAACGCAAAATGCTACTTACAACTAGTTAATTAATAGTTTGTTTATGTAACCTTTTGAGCGCATTAGACTTTACTAGAGGCACACATGGAAAAGAACTTGTAAAAACAATTAATATTTACCATTTTGGAGAAGTAATTCTACAAAATCCAGTTGTGCTGTTCTTGCCGCTATTAATAATGGCGTATCTCCAGTATCATCACGTAAATTAGATACACTTCCATGTTGCAAAAGCATTTTAGCAATTGATACACAACGATTGTGTGCGCAATAATGTAATAATCTATGGGATTGTGTTACTCTGGCTCCATTGGATAGCAATTTTGAAACGATATTGGCATTTTGTTGCCATACAGCTTCACATAATGGTGTGTAACCTAAAATATAATAATTATCAATACAGGTGTAGTGTTGTAAAAAAAGACTAAGCTTCTGTTGAGCAATATTGTCTACTATATTAAGTTGTAAAATGTTTCCAACAAGTATAACTGAAAACAATTAAAAAGCTTGCAGGTTAACACTGTATAATACTCACCATGTATTTCTTCAGCATTAACTCGTGCACCTCTATTTATAAGTATCTCAACAACGTTTTCATGGCCTCGGTTTACAGCCAGTAACAAGGGTGTTCTGTCAGAACTATCCAGTGCATCGACGGATGCACCAAATCTCAACAAAATTTCACACTGTAATATAAGTAGAATTTTTAGCTTGCTGATGTCTTTTGAAAATAACTGAAAGTAAATATATCCAAAAATATCTACCGCATTTTTGAAACCTCGACTAGCAGCAATATGAAGAGCAGTATTTTTATCAATTGATTTTTTATTAGGCAATGCACCAGCTTCAAGCAATGTTAGCATTGCTTTAGTATGATTATTAGAAGTAGCTATATGAAGAGGGGTATTCACATCTACTTCTATTGGATCTACATTAATACCTTAAACGAAAATGAACATATTCTAAAGTTACTATAATGTTGTTCACCTATCTATATAAATAATATTTAACTATTTACCTGCGCGCACTAATAATTTAATTACATCTGAGTGGCCCTGCTCAGCAGCATAGTGCATTGGACTCTTTCGAAAAGCGTCAAGTGAATCAGGTTTATATTCTGGGCCACCGGTTTCTATTAAAGTTGCAGTCCTTTCCAATATACATGCATACCACCTAATTATTTTTTTTAAAGAATTATTTTCATAAAGCTACCAAAAGTTAAGAATAACTCTTTCATGAAGTCTATAGATACTGATGTTTAAAACTATTACCAAGCAAAATATTTCTTAACTCCACACATTACATTTAAATTACCGATACAGTGATGCCCATTCATCTTCTGTTTTATTTGAGGCTGCTTCGCCTAGTGAATTATTTTGTAATTCTTCATCCCATGCCATAGCTTCCATTCCTTCCGGGGTAACATTTGCAGAATTGTCATTGTTATCATGTACCATTATATAATATCCTTGGTTAACGTTTGGATGATGCTGAAAAAATATTATTTCTCATTTATTCTTCATATGTGATAAAGAAATATACATGAAATTATCAATATTTTAGTGTTTTATGAATAAATCACAGTACGACATGCACTATATAAATAGTGGAAGGGTTAAATTCATATTGTTCTTATTAACGATTTTGGATAATTCTGGAGAAAACGCTGAAGAATAAATATCATAACCAATTTTCAGATATAAACTGGCATAACATAGCCCGAGACAAGGACCAAGAACAAACCATATTGTGCCGACTTCAAAAACCACAAAAACTATATATTGCATGGTCCCATGAATAGAGCAGCAATGGTGGTCAATAAACAGTGCTCGCAACTAAACTTTTTTTAATTCCTCACATAATTTTATTTTATTTATCAATGTTGTCAAAAAGAATAATACTTATTAGAATTTGTTAGCATTACTAGTATGTTTGAGTCTGCATATAGGTGCATGTGCAGGTGTATTTATGTACATATGTAAGCGTGTTTGTATAAATAATATAGGATTGCATTATTATGTTATATTACTATATAATTAACTATATATAACTGATTTGCATGTATTGAATAAAATTGAATTACCCTACGGGAAGTTAACAATAGAGTAAATTGGAGAGTAAACAATTTCAGTTAATCGTTGAATTTAAATTTATTTAAGTATATAAATTTCTAGATATTTTTTCCTGAAAAGCAAGAAGTTAACTAAATATGAATGCACAATTATTATTCACAGTCACAACTGCTCTGCAAGATTGGGTTTCTCTATTGTTCAGAAATAAAAGGTACCCAACCAATTTGAAGATATTTATAATTAAATGAATGAATGAATTAATACTCTATTCAAAATAAAGAGCTTGTAGTCTTAACAATCTGGACTTTTAATTAAAGTTAAAATCTATACAGATATTTATTTTATCATAATTAGCAGAAAAATCATTTAACAGTTGAAGCAGAAATAAGAGCACACTAATGGAAAATCTGGATAGCTTTTCATTTCAAATAGTTTTACAAGCAAATCTCAATTTGTGGTAAAAATAGAACCTGCACAATCCTGAAAAGGACTTTATTATTACTAAAGTAGCACTGTAAATAAAATTCTGAATGATTTAAGTTCTAGTTTATTAAGACTAATGCATTTCTTATCCCACTTGAACATTTTTAAATCTTCAATAACTAACTTCAAATTCCTGAAACTGTCAGATTGCTCTAAACTGTATTTGCCAGAAAGAAACAATAATTTACATTACATTAAAAATTTCAAATGTGTGGACTATACATGTACATAAATATTCAATTAAGTCAGGACACTGAGGTAAGTAAATTTTGCATGGACTTTTGATAAATATGTATATTTTCATTAAGTACATCATAATGACTTACTTTTTTAGATTTCAAATTCCTTCTGTAAGTGGCTTTTCTCTCATTAGGTATTTTGCACCAGTCCAATAGAATTTCTATTAGGATTACATCTCCTTGCTGTGCAGCGGTCCCAAGTGCAGTCCGTCCAGAAGAACATATTCGGCAAGGATCTGCACCTATAATTTCAAAGTATTTATCAATATTTACAATAATACTATAATAATATTTTAAATAGAAATCTTACCTCTATCTAGTAAGATAGGTATCTCCGTAAAACTATTAGTTAGAACTGCGTCCATCAGTTCCTCATCCAAATTATCACTCATTTTAAAATATTGAATAAAATTGAACAATGCACTTACATATTTAATGTTAATTTATTTTAAAACAATATTTAATTTAAACATTGCAAGAGGTATTGTGATTGGTGTACGTTTGACAGCTGTCACAGTCAACAGCTGTAAGCGGGGATATATTCTCGGACTCATATTATAAAGAATATCGTTAAGTTGTCAAAGTGGACATCATATTGCCAACATAATATACGTATTGTGCCAAACTTCGCTTGTGTTTATTTATTCCTATTGGCTTGTGCATTGCTCATTGTTTAACTTCTTGCTCTACCCGGTGTCGAATTTGTTATTGTTGCGTTCGTATTAATCAGGCTTCATCTAAAAACATCCGATTGTGTAATTACGGGGGCTCCAAAAGGTACGATTATTTGTCCAAATCTGTTTTTGTGCAAGTGTACGTAACGTACGCAATTAGATCGAAAGCTTGCGCAAATATTCTGCACAAGCTTACGATTTTTGTGAACTTGCACAAAGAAATCGTATCGGTCGAGGCAGCCATTAGTGTTTTGTAACAGCGAGCCGCTGCGAATTTTTAAGAAGTTTGATGAATAGATCGAGGTAAGAATTGTTATTATTTCAAATTGTTATTGTTTTTATTCGATCAGAGCGAACAATAGTTCCATTATTATAGGAATTAGATATGACAATATATTCATTATATCCATTATATTGGGCAATGTTATCATGGTCAGGAAAACCAAAGTACAAGATAAATATGTATTCAATGAGTTTATAAAATGCAAATTTAGCAAACTGAGCTGCCTTTACAATAAATATAAACAGTTTTAAATATGGTTGATGGTTTGCAATTACATTTATAGTTGTAACCTATAAGTTAGGAGCCATATTGAAATTTGCCTTTTAATATCTGAGCTATTTATCGGTATACTATTTTTTCCATAATCTTTATAACAGGCACTTCTGCCTTGCTAGTATAGAGATACAGAAAAATAGTTTTTTTTCTATTCTTTCATATTTTCAAAGTTTAACTACTCAAGATTATGTGTACGCGAGGATTTTTAAAGATTTAATTATTTTCTGAGTTATCGCTGTTCGGCCATGATATAACCCTCTTCTTCACCCTTTCTTTTGCAATCGTGGGCGTGGTCACGTGACAACTTTTTGATGCCACACTTAAACAACTGCTAATTCTTAAAATTTTAACTTTTTTGTACTCTTTAAATATTGATAAGCAAATTATAAGAAAAGTAATACTGAAAAAGAGGATTGATTTTTTACGATGATTTATAAAAATGATATAAATGGTTTGAGCGTGTTTCCATATAGAATCGGTCCCACCCTGGTAATTTTCAACTCCCTAGCTCAGTGGTTTTTAACCTTTTTTGCACCGCGCTCCTCTGCTCTAATAAAAAAAGTTGTTGTTCCTCCTTAATTTTTTCAACAATTTTATTTCATAAATACTTAATTGATATTATCAGACTACAAATTAATATGCAATATTATGTAAAAATTGAATATAATTAGTTTTTCGTTTATTGTTTATATTAATTCAAAAATTTTGGTTTAATTTCGATAATAGTATTTTGGAAAGTGTCGTACGCGTTCCTCCCTGTAACAGCCAAGTGCTCCGCCCCCTGAGGGGGCACACCCCACAGGTTGTAAACCGCTGTCATAGCTCATTTGGCCGAGATATCATTGAAAACATGTAAAAGTGGCCCTTTTTTATATATTTATATCTATATTTATATTTATATCTATATTTATATTCATATTTATATTTATATTTATATTTATATTTATATTTATATTTATATTTATATTTATATTTATATTTATATTTTCTTTATATTCTCTTTCTCTTTCTTTTATTTCTCTTTATATTTCTCTTTCTCTTTCTCTTTCTCTTTATCTTTCTATTTCTTTTCTCTTTTCTTTCTATTTCTTTCTCTTTCTTTCTCTTTCTCTTTCTCTTTCTTCTCTTTCTCTTTCTCTTTCTTTCTCTTTCTCTTTCTCTTTCTTTCTCTTTCTTTCTCTTTCTCTTTCTCTTTCTCTTTCTCTTTCTCTTTCTCTTTCTCTTTCTCTTTCTCTTTCTCTTTCTCTTTCTCTTTCTCTTTCTCTTTCTTTTCTCTTTCTCTTTCTCTTTCTCTTTCTCTTCTCTTCTCTCTTTCTCTTTCTCTTTCTTTTCTCTTTCTCTTTTCTTTCTCTTTCTCTTTCTCTTTCTCTTTCTCTTTCTCTTTCTCTTCTATTTCTATTTCTCTTTCTATTTATATTTATATTTATATTTATATTTATATTTATATTTATGAGGGGGCGCACCCCACAGGTTGGAAATTGCTGTTCTAGCTCATCATTTGGCCGTGATATCATTGAAAACATGTGAAAGTGGCTCTTTTTTTCCAAACTCACTTTCTGTCGGAAATATGAAAGATATCGAAAAAATATTAACGTGATTCTATTTATACTTATTTTGTGTATATTGTTTATAACAAATAATGTGAAAAAATTATTTGTTAGAGCATGAAAAGGTAAAAATAATTTTTCATTTTCCATTTTCTACCAATGCGGCTCTTTGGACTACTTTTAAATTAGCATTTTATTTTGATATTCAAAATTTTATTTAAATCTAAGTTGGAACTTCGTGTTCAAAATTTGGAAATACTTAAGCTTGTGCACGCGCTGCCGGTACAAGAACACCCATATAGGTTCGCTTCGTTCGCATGAGCGACGAGCAAGCGTAGTGATTATCGTTATCGCGCGTCTCGGCAAATTCTGTATATAGAAATATTTCTTAAATAAATATATTTATTAGTCATAATTAAAAATCCAACACGGCGAATATAAACATTAATTTTAATCTTGTAATATAGTATAATCTTGTTACTAATATTTTAATTTTAATGTATAAAAAACTTTCAAAGATTTCAATATTTTTTATATATTTATGACGGCAATAAAAAGTATTTTAATTTTAATTCATTACCTTTTTTGATTTTTTTACAATGTTTTTATGATATTTCATGTAATCATTAAGAAAATAATTAATCGATAAAAAATTTCTATGGGTTTCGTACCACAAGGACCATATATATATATATATATATATATATATATATATATATATTAGGGTGGTCCTTAAAATGGTCTTTTTCGAATTTCCTTGCTCACAGGAGCTCAAATGGTTCCAAATAGATAAAAAACAATTCTCTGAAAGTTTTAGCTCTTAATATTAACGTTTAGATAGAGCGCAATTCAATCAAACTTTGTATGGAAAGAGCATGGAAAAAATTTTGAAAATTAAAAAAAAATGTTTTAGGTATAACTTAACGACAAATGAATGAGTTTTATTCATTCATTTGTTCGCTAAATTACATCTAAAAAACATTTTTAAAATTTTTGAAAAATTTTCCATGCTATTTCCATACAAAACTTTGATTGAATTGCGCTCCATCTAAACGTTAATATTAAGAGCTAAAACTATATATATATATATATATATATATATATATATATATATATATATATAAAGCGAGAGGTTTTTCTTCAGATGGTGAAATAATATGATAAAAATTGTTTCTTGGGCATCCATCCAATAATTAAAAAAACAGTTTTAATGCAAAATGTTTTAATTAAGAGAACATACGTTTCGGGTCCAGATTTGACCCATCTTCAGTGCTACAAATAAATATTTCAGGGTTACAAATTAAAACAATATAAAAAATAATATAAAAGATACATAATTACAGACAAAAATAAGTAGAAACAATGTATATGAAAAATATATATGAAAAACAACATAAAATAAACAAATGTAAAGAAACTCACCATACTAATAAATTTTAAAAAAATATAACACAAAGAACAACACAAAAATGCAACGAAAAAATAAGTACTTATTTTTTCGTTGCATTTTTGTGTTGTTCTTTGTGTTATATTTTTTTAAAATTTATTTGTATGGTGAGTTTCTTTACATTTGTTTATTTTATGTTGTTTTTCATATATATTTTTCATATACATTGTTTCTACTTATTTTTGTCTGTAATTATGTATCTTTTATATTGTTTTAATTTGTAACCCTGAAATATTTATTTGTAGCACTGAAGATGGGTCAAATCTGGACCCGAAACGTATGTTCTCTTAATTAAAACATTTTGCATTAAAACTGTTTTTTTAATTATTGGATGGATGCCCAAGAAACAATTTTTATCATATATATTTATATATATGTCAAAGAAGTTAGTTTTGATGTTGAGAAATATGAGTAAGTTCTTCCAGGGCATACATCAAATAAAATCTTTTATTTGATGTATGCCCTTGAAGAACTTACTCATATATATATATATATATATATATATATTAACAAAGTCTAATAATCGGGCATAACATCAATAAAAAACATGAATTTCTTTCAAAAATTTATTTTAAATCCATACGTTTCGGCTATAATCCTAGCCTTCATTCAGTGGAAACTAAAAATAAAATTAAAAACTAAAACAATTGAATTGGAGTGAAAAGAAAAAATAAAATAGTAATTAGTACTTACAATTAGTTGATCTTAGTGTTAATTTGGAAAACTTTAGTAATCCATGGTATTAGGATATGGTAATGCACTACACTATGTATTATAAACATTAACTTGAAATTACACAATATTTTCACAAAATACTGATTTGAAAAAATCACAAATGGATAGTGTGTTATTCGTAGACTGGTTGAAGATGTAATGGAGAAAGACATTTTTCTAAAAAATATTTTTACCAAGATTCTGCACATGTGTGGAACGAATTGTAAAACCTTTGCGCGAACGCTTTTATTGTTTTGTAAGAAATTTGGAAATGTTATCTAAATAGAAGAGATTTGTGTCGCGCAGCGTGTTGAGTTCATTCCGTTTATTTATTGTCTTATTGTTATAAATAGTTAAAAAAGATCCCTCTATAATTCTTCGTTTAAATAAATTTTGTTCAAATTGTAGCACAGTCGGATTAGAAAAGTCCATATTGTGTTTTAAAGTGTATATATGGTCTGCAAGAACTGTTTTGAATTGTTTGGGGTTTTTTGAATTGTTTTTATGTTGTTGTAACCGTTTATTGAGGTTCTGGCTAGTTTCTCCTATGTAAATTAAATTACAGTCTAAACAAT